CTCTCTCTCTCCCCCTCTCTCTCTACCCCCCTCCCTCTCTCTCTCTCGCTCTCTCTCGCTCTCTCTCGCTCTTTGTCCATCCCTTTCTTGCTCTTTGTCTTTCTTTCTTGTTTACTAAGAAAGCCTAGAACACCAATGAACAATATTTTAAAGAAAGGATTACAGCTTTCGAAATGAAATTATTCTAGAAGCAGGTTAAAGACATCTTGGAGACATAAAGAATAATGAAACAGTATTGATAGTAGTTATAGAACCGCCAACACTCCTCCAGAGCGTAGTGAAACTAAACTACATTGTCATGTATTTTGTACATACTAAGAGCCATGAGTCACTCTTTAGTTTTAGCAAAGATAGTACAAGTCTTGTACTATCTTTGGTTTTAGTAAGGTTTTACGGCGCTCGCAACTGCATAAGATCATATGAGCGCCGAGGGGTGGGTGTCAACAAAGAAGTCCAAACAAAGAATCAGGCTTACTCTGCTGAGTGCTCACCTCTCTAGCCTCGCACAGCGTCTGCTTCGACTATCAAGGCACCCAGGAAATAGCACTTCACAAGATAGTGACAAAAATACAAAGAAGTAGAGGAAAAATGACACAGTAAGGATGAGGATAGAAAAAGCAGCAGTTCCCCCTATGTTGTTCCGGAACAGTATGCGCATGTCATTGATAAATCAGTCCATTTACTGTGTATAGTATAAGAACATGTTAATATCCCCCCTTTCGGAATGGCCTAAAGACAACTTCAGTCAGTAGCTCTGCCCCCGTGGGGGGGGGGAGTTGAATCACCCTAGAAACATAACGGGAACAAAGGAATAAGGCTTGACAGGAAGAGGGAGACCGAACAGAGAACGGGACCAGAGAATTTAACCAAAAGAACCCAGGCAAGCAAAATGGCAAGAGACCTAGTGGTTACTTGCAGAACGGTCCGAGAAGCAATAGTTAACTTTTGGAAAAAAGCTAAGAAGGAGAGGAACAAGTCCGTCTGTCTATCTGTCTGTCTGTCTGTCTGTCTGTCTGTCTGTCTGTCTGTCTGTCTGTCTGTCTGTCTCACTCTCTCATGCTCTCATCCCCATTCTCTCTTATACATACTGGCCTATTTATTATAATTATATTGCTTGTGCGAACGTGTATATTATTATATATATGTGTATGTG